TTGCTGTATGTATATACGTGACTGCATGACCAATGTGATTCTGCAACCTGTACACTCAGAAAAATGAGAAATTATACCCCATCTTATTCAAATGTATGATATGTCAAGATCATTGTACTGTCGTGTGTAACTAATTAAAACAAATTTAAAGAAAAAAGAAGCAACAAAAAAAACCATAGGAAAGTTAAAAAATAAAATAAATAAATAGAAATAGTTAAAAAAATAGAAAAAAATGGATAAATTAGGACACTATATACTGATCAAGGGAACCATATACCAACAAGACTTAACAATTATAAATATATATGCCCCAAACAATGAAGCATCTATGTTCATCAAATAAAGTCTTCTCAAGTTCAAGAGTCAATTAGACCACAACACAATAATTTGGGGTGACTTTAAAACACCTCTTTCATCACTAGATGGATCTTCCAAACAAAAGCTGAACGAAGAAACTATGGGACTCAATAATACAATCAATAACTTAGACTTAACTGACATATATAGAATATTTCATCCTATAATGAGAAAATACACTTTCCTCTCAGTAGCACATGAATCCTTCTCTAAAATAGACCAAATAATATGCCACAAAGCAACTCTTAGCAAAATTAAAAAGTAGAAATACTTGCCTGCATTTTATCAGATCATAATAGAATGAAATTAGAAATCAATAATAAAATAAGAAATAAAATGCACTCCAATACCTGGAGACTAAATAATATGCTACTGAATGAACAATGGGTTACAGAACACATCAAGGAGGAGATTAAAAAAATTTTTAGAGGTGAATGAGAACACAGATACAACATATGAAAATATCTGGGACCTTATGAAAGCAGTTCTAAGAGGAAAGTTCATTGCATGGAATTTATTCCTTAAAAGAAGAAAAAGTCAACAAATAAATGACTTAACATTACATCTCAAAGCCCTAGAAAAAGAAGCACAAATCAACACCAAAAGCAACAGAAGGCAGGAAATAATTAAAATCAGAGCTAAAATCAATGAAATTGAAATAAAAGAAACAATTGAAAAAATTGACAGAAAAGTTGGTTCTTTGAAAAAATAAATAAAATTGGCTCTTAGCTATGCGAATGAAGAGAAGAAGAGAGAAAACTCAAATCACTAACATACATGATGAAAAAGGAAATATCACAACAGACACTATAGAAATATAGAAGACATAAACAGATATAATACCAATACCCTTCAATTTATTTCAGGAAATAGAAAAAGTGGCAGTACTTCTAAACTCATTCTATGAAGCCAATATCACTCTGATTCCAAATCAGGCAAAGACACATCAAAAAAAGAAAACTTCAGACCAATATCTCTAATGAACATATATGCAAAAATTCTCAATAAAATTCTGGCAAATTGAATACAAACACATATCAAAAAGATCATGCACCATGATCAAGTGGGATTCATCCCAGGGAGACAAGGCTGGTTCAACAAATGGAAATCAATAAATATAATTCATCACATCAATAGACTTAAAGATAAAAATCATATGATCATCTCAATAGATGCAGAAAAGGCATTTGACAAAATACAGCACCCCTTTATGTTCAAAACACTAGAGAAACTAGTGATAGAAAGAACATATCTCAACATCATAAAGGCTGTCTATGCTAAGCCCCAGACCAACATCATTCTAAATGGAGAAAAATTGAAGGCATTTCCTCTAAAAACTGGAACAAGACAGGGATGCCCTCTTTCACCACTTTTATTTAACATAGTTCTTGAAACACTGGCCAGAGCAATTAGACAGACAAAAGAAATTAAAGGGATACACATAGGAAAAGAAGAGCTCAAATTAGCACTATTTGCTGATGATATGATTCTACACCTGGAAGACCCTAAAAGTTCTACCAGAAAACTTTTAGAACTAGTAAATGAATTCAGCAAAGTAGCAACATATAAAATCAACACCCATAAATCAAAGGCATTTCTGTATATCAGTGACAAATTCTCAGAAAGGGAAATGAGGAAAACTACCCCATTTTCAATAGCCTCCAAAAAAATTAAATAATTGGGAATCAACTTAATGAAAGAGGTGAAAGATATATATAATGAAAATTACTAAACCTTAAATAAAGAAATCAAAGAAGACCTTAGAAGATGGAAAGATCTACCTTGCTCTTGGATAGGCAGAATTAATATTATCAAAATTACCATACTTCCAAAAGCACTATACAGATTTAATGCAGTTCTGATCAAAATTCCAATAACATTCCTCATAGAAATAGAAAAAGCAATCATGAAATTCATCTGAAAAAATAAGAGACCCAGAATAGCTAATGCAATACTTAGCAGAAAGAGTGAAGCAGGTGGCATCACTATACCAGACCTTAAACTATACTACAGAGCAATAGTAACAAAAACAGCATGGTATTGGCACCAAAACAGAATGGTAGACCAAAGGTACAGAATAGAGAACACAGAGACTAACCCTCAAAATTACAATTATCTTATATTAGACAAAGGTGCCAAGAACATGCATTGGAGAAAAGATAGCATCTTCAACAAATGGTGCTGGGAAAACTGGAAATCCATATGCAACAAAATGAAATTAAACTCCTATCTCTCACCATGCACAAAACTCAACTAAAAATGAATCAAGGATTTAGGAATAAAACCAGAGACCCTGTGTCTAATAGAAGAAAAAGTAGGCCCTAATTTCCATCATGTGGGATTAGGCCTCAACTTCCTTAATAAGACTCTTGTGGCACAATAATTAAAATCAAGAATCAATAAATGGGCTGGACTCAAACTGAAAAGTTTCTTCTCAGCAAAAGAAACAATCTGTGAGGTTGTATGCTATTATGCATACAATCTTGGGAGCAAATTTTTACCCCCCACACATCAGATAGAGCACTAATCTCTATAATATATAAAGAACTCAAAAATCTAAACACCAAAAAAAATAAATAACCCAATCAATAAATGGGCCAAGGACCTGAACAGACACTTCTCAGAAGAGGATATACAATCAGTCAACAAATATATGAAAAAATGTTTATCATCACTATCAATTAGAGAAATGCAAATCAAAACCACTCTAAGATTTCATCTCACTCCAGTCAGAATGGCAGCTATTATGCATATAAGCAACAATAAGTGTTGGTGAGGATGTAGGGGAAAAGGTCCACTCATACATTGTTGGTGGGACTTCAAATTGGTGCAGCCAATATGGAAAGTAGTATGGAGATTTTTTGGAAAATTGGGAATGGATCCAACATTTGACCCAGCTATCCCTTCCTCGGTCTATACCCAAAGGACTTAAAAACAGCATACTATAGGGACACAGCCACATCAATATTTATAGCAGCACAATTCACAATAGCTAAAATGTGAAGCCAACTTAGATGCCCTTCAATGGATAAATGGTTAAAAAAATTGGCATTTATACCCAATGGAATATTACTCAGCAATAGAAGAGAATAAAATCATGGTATTTACAGGTAAATAGGTGGAGTTAGAGAAGATAATGCTAAGTGAAGTTAGGGAATCCCAAATATCCAAATGCCTAATCTTTATCTTTAATATTTATATTTTTAAAAAGGGGGGGATAAGTTATCATCAACTGCACAAAGGAAAACTTAAGCAAAGACCGAAACATCCCAAGCTAACATCCGGACTCACCTGCCTCCAAAATCCTCCTCCTCTTTACATAGGAGTCCAGGAAAGGAAGGTGAGGCTGGTGGAAAGGTGGGCTCTGTGAGGGCAGAGGATGAATTCTGGGTAAAAGGAAGGTGGACCACATAAATGATGTGCCAGTGGAGGGAGCAGGTGTCAGGGCATTCCAGTGCCCAGCAGCTAGCTTCCAAAGCAGGTGCTCAGAGACCTTGCTGAGTTATGACATGTGCTGCAACCTTCAAATGCAGTATTTAATAAAAGCCAAAAGACAGAATATCAAACTATCTTTACTGTTTACAGTAGTAAAGTGTAACATAATGTACAAATTGGTGAACAAACAACAGAGCCAACAACATCCCACCACAGCCCATACAGCAAAACAGGAAATGAGGACATTTCTGCAAGACCTCAAGCAAGCGAGGTGATGGGTCACTGTCAGGTGACTATAAAAGGCAGAGAATAGCCATCAAGCAGCAATGGATCTTTACAGGCTGATAGGCAGAACTATGAACATTTTAATTGGTATAGATTCCCAAATATTTCACAGAACCGGAGTCACTTTTCTAATGCATAATTCCGATACTTATTTGGACAGTGGCAAAGTAAAAATCCATAAGAACACTAAGTCACCTTTCTGTGGGTTTCTTTTGCAACCACACTTTGAAGCAGCTCTTTTATACAACATAACTGCAAATTCAGTGATATTTCATTTTACTTTATATAAAGACCACAATTATCTGTTAAAAGTAAATCTGAGGCTTTGATACAATTACCAAATGAGAAACATGGTAATTATTCCTGGTTTTGAAAAGATAAGAGCTGGTTTTGGTTGTGCCAATCATTGCCCACATACCCACACCCAGGCACTGAGTGCAGAGGTGGTATCCTTGGCCTCAGACCCAGAGGGGACACACTCAGGAGCAGAAAGCACTTGGACCTTATTACTGAAGGTCTTATTTTGTTTTTTACCTTTGAAGAAGTATTCCAGTATTTTGCCTTCAACTATACCATATGCTTGATGAAGTCTGTCATTTGCAGCTTTTAGAATTTTAAAAATGTGCCTGGTGAAATTCCACCCTCCATACTCTCCCACAGATGCACAGTGTGAACCTGAGCTCTCCACGTGATTGGGACAAGTAACTCCAGCAGTGACCACTACTCCAGACTGAGAGCCAACATTTGGCCACAAGTTTGAAGGAAAACATGTTTTGAGAGGGTCAATGAACAAAACCGAGAACAAAAACAAACCCAAAACCTTAAAACTTATTTCACAAAGAGAACAATGTGATTGGCCTAATGTAAGCTGTAGACTCATCCCTACAGAGTTTTGAGCTGCCCTGGAAGTGCTTCGAGGATCGTTTTGGTGACTGTCCTTGTCTTTCTCAGACTCCTCTGTGATCAGCGTGGTCGCTCACCATTCAATAACAAATGCAAGGACGATGGCAGGGTGTGGGGTGGTCCCTCTGGAGGCCATGCCTCCCGTCTGCTGTTGGAACCCATGGATGGTGTCCTCATCCTCCATCTCCAGCTGGGCTGGAGTGTCTGTTTCATTAATTGGTTGCCCATCAAACCTGAATCTAAGCTGTCTCATTGACAAGCTCTGCCTCTCGCAGAAGGCCTTCATCAGCTTGCTCAGTGGGGTGTGCCTCTTGATCTTGAATTGCACCACTGAGCCATCCTGCCCCACCACCTTCAGGTTAATGTGGTCATTCTCCACACCCCCATTGGGCTTCTCCTCGGACGTGGCTGCGCAGAGACTCTGAGATAGCGAGATGCGGAGGCAGAAGAGGCAGCCCCGATTGGGCGAGTCTTGCTCTGGGCCCCGCTGCTCTCCCAAATGCCTAACCTTTTCTTTGACATAAAGTGGCTGATTCATAGTGGGATAGGGAGAAGGATATGGGAGGAATAGATGAACTCTAGATAAGGCAGAGGGGTTGGAGGGAAAGGGAGGGGGCATGGGGTTGGTAATGATGGTGGAATGTGATGATCATTACTATCCAAAGTATAGGTGCGAAGACACTAACTGGCGTAAATATACTTTGTATACAACCAGAGATATGAAAAAGTGTGCTCTATATGTGTAATAAGAATTATAATGCATTCTACTGTCATATATAAATAAAAAATAAACAAAAGAATTTGTAAACAAGTTCAGTAAAGCATCAGGATACAAAATCAACACATAACAACAGCATTTTAATGCACCAGTAACTTGCTAAGAAAGAAAGTATGATCAGGGTGTAGTGGTGCATGCCTGTAATCCCAGCAGCTCAGGAAGCTGAGGCAAGAGGATCACAAGTTCAAAGCCAGCCTCAGCAGAAGGGAGGCACTAAGCAACTCAGTGAGACCTTGTTTCTATATAAAATACAAAATAGGGCTGGGAAGTGGCTCAGTGGTCAAGTGTCCCTGCATTCAATCTCTGGTACCTGCCTCCCCCAAAAAAACAAAAAAATAAAGAAATTATGAAATCAATCCTTTTCACAATAGCTACAAAAATTATTTAGGAATAAATTTAAACAAGGAAATGAAAGATCACTACAGTTAAATTATAAAACACTGATAAAAGAAATGATGGTAGACATAATAAAGAGAAAGAGAAAAGATAATCCTTGATCATATATCAAAAAGATCAGCATTATTAAAGTGACATGGTACCCAAAGTGATCTATAGATGCAATGTAATTACCATCAAAAAACCAAATTACTGAGAACAGGCCCAGTGGCCCGCGGAGGGGCAGAGCTGCCAACCACGCCTGCAAGGTAGGCAGACCTGCGACTCACCAGCAGAACAGGCCCAGCGGACTGCTGAGGAGCAGAGCCGCCCCCTCCCCCTGCACCTGCAAGGTAGGTGGAACTGTGACCACCGACAGAACAGGCCCAGAGGCCCACGGAGGGGCAGAGCCACCCCTGCGCCTGCAAGGTAGGCGGACCTGTGACCACCGACAGAACAGGCCAGACCTACAACCGACAGACAGAACAGGCCCAGTGGCCCGCAAAGGGGCAAAGCCGCCGCCCGCGCCTGCGAGGGAGACTTTGCAACTATACAAGAGCAATATAAATATATAGGGGGAAAATTCAATAGCACAACAGTTTCACCAAGCAGAAAGAAATGCGAACAGTATGAAGAGACAAGGAAAAAAAAGACCACAAGCAATGCAGGTCAACTCAATGTTAGAAGAGGTAATATCTGCAGCAGATGGAATGTCAGATAAAGAATTCAGGATATACATGCTTCAGATGATCTGGAGTCTCAAGGAAGACATTAGTCAGCAAAATCAGACAATGAAATATCACTTCAACAATGAATTACATAAAGAAATCCAAGAAGCAAAAGATCAACTATACAGGGAGATAGAGGTTATAAAAAACAAACAGAAATCCTAGAAATGCAGGAAGCAATAAACCAACTTTAATCTCAATTAAGAATACTACCAGCAGAATAGAACACTTAGAAGATAGAACATCAGACAATGAAGACAAAATATTTCAATTTGAAAAGAACATAGACAGCTCAGCAAGACTGTTAAGAAACCATGAGCAGAACATCCAAGAAATATGGGATAACATTAAGAGACCAAACTTAAGAGTCATTGGGATACAGGAAGGTATAGAGGTCCAAACCAAAGGAATGAGCAATCTATTCAATGAAATATTACGAGAAAACTTCCCAGACTTGAAGAATGAGACAGAATCCCAAATCCTAGAAGCCTACAGGACGCCGAATGTGCAAAATCATAAGAGATCCACACCCAGACACATTATAATGAAGATGCCCAACATACAGAACAAGGAGAGAATTTTAAAAGCTACAAGAGAAAGGAAGCAGATTACATTTAGGGGTAAACCAATCAGGATAACAGCTGATCTTTCAACACAGACTCTGAAAGCTAGAAGATCCTGGAATAACATATTTCAAACACTGAAAGAAAATGGGTTCCAACCAAGAATTGTGTATCCAGCAAAATTAAGCTTCAGGATGGAAGATGAAATTAAAACCTTCCACGATAAACCAAAGTTAAAAGAATTTGCAGCTAGAAAAGCATTTCTCCAAAAAATCCTCGGCAAAACATTACAGGAAGAGGAAATGGAAAATAACAATGAAAACCAACAGTGGGAGGTAGGACACTAAAGGGGGGGAAATAATCAAAGAGGAAAACAAACCATGTTTAGTAACAGAAATAAACAAATATGGCTGGAAGAACAACCCATATCTCAATAATAACCCTAAATGCTAATGGCTTAAACTCACCAATTAAGAGATACAGGCTAGTAGAATGGATCACAAAACATGACCCAACAATATGCTGCCTACATGAGACGCATTTGATAGGAAAAGACATACATAGGCTGAAGGTGAAAGGTTGGGAAAAATCATATCACTCATATGGACTTCGGAAACAATCAGGAGTGTCCATAATCATATCAAATAAAATAGATTTCAAGCTAAAGTTAATCAAAAGGGATAAAGAGGACCACTACATACTGCTCAAGGGAATCATACACCAACAAGACATAACAATCATAAATATATATGCCCCAAACAATGGTGCAGCTACGTTCATCAAACAAACTCTTCTCAAGTTCAAGAGTTTAATAGACCACCATACAATAATCATGGGAGACTTCAACACACCTCTCTCACCACTGGACAGATCTTCCAAACAAAAGTTGAATAAGGAAACTATAGAACTCAATAACACAATTAATAACCTAGACTTAATCGACATATATAGAATATACCACCCAACATCAAGCAGTTACACTTTTTTTTCTCAGCAGCACATGGATCCTTCTCAAAAATAGATCATATATTATGTCACAGGGCAACTCTTAGACAATATAAAGGAGTAGAGATAATACCATGCATCTTATCTGATCATAATGGAATGAAACTGAAAAT